GCCCTGCCGCTGGGGGCTGCTTTGGGTCTGTTCTCTGCTCCAAGTCTGGACCCGAGATTCCCCCCAACTACAGTGAGGGAACGTTGCCCTATTCCTACAATCTGTGCGTTGCCCATACTGGAAAGACAGAGTTTAATTTCCTAAAATGTAGCGAGCCTTTGCATTCCACTCAAGACATAGTTTGCGGCGATTCTCCTGGGGCCTTGATTCCACTTCAGGGTGGGAGTAATTTGACTTCACATCCTGAGACTCTAACACTGGTGAGTTTCGTTTTTGTGTCTTCTGTAATAGTCTACTAGGTTCTCATATTTCAGGCATACTACTTTATTTTTATATCTAGAATTATATTTAGAAAAACCATAACTAATCACCATCTTGTCTTCTCCAGTGTTCACTTTTGGCTGATTATATTTTTCAAAACTCACTTGGTTCATACATTACTCTATAATTCAGAAAGAATGTCATTAAATTGGAGATACCTTGTCAAGGTCAGATTAACAAAGCAGAGGCAGTGGTCTTAGCTTCTTACCAAATAAATAAATAACAACCTATATATTCTAATCTGCTTACATTAAAGATGAATTTTCTATGTTCTATTTATGTTTTTAAAGTTTAGTAATATTTAGGCACTCACTAAATATCAAAGAGGGTGTTCCTTTCGAAGAAACATTTATTGCAAATAACCTCTCAGATGCATTTAGATATCTTTCTTCATTTATTTTAATAATTTTTAAAACGGTAAGCATTTGAAGGAGGTGGTGGGCAGATCCATGAATTCCTGAAATTATATGCAAAGTTATAGATGTATGCATTTTTTCTTGGAGAAGGGTCAAAATTTTCTTTCCATTGCCAAGGTTTCTATGGTCCCCCAAACTTATTAACTATTCTAGAGGAATTTTCCTCTTCTATTTTTGGTCTCTCTGGCCTTCTTCTTATATTTACTTATATTTTCTTGGAGCTCAAGTTGTACTCTTTTGCAATATTTTTTCCTCTCCATTGGAAGATCAAGAATTTCCAAGAAAGCAACTAAAGTGCTCTTGCCTTTTGTGCTCAGTCTGTGTCTTGGATTGCCTTGGATTGACATAAAATTTTGAAGAAAAAAGATAAAGTCTTGGAAGAGATTCATACTTGGAGCACAGTGACATAAACACTTTTGAACGATGTGTTCTTTTTATGAAAGAAGTGGACTTCTAAACCCTTCACCTTTGAGGCAAGAACTGCCTTTGGTTTGATGGGCACATACAGTTGGAGATGTGTTCACCACTTTACTTTGGGCTTCCATATAAAATGCCAGAAGAGATTATTTATATTGGCATCAATGCCCTGATAAAAACAGGTCATTTGACATAAACGCTTATTTTGTAAACACCTACATCACTGTTTCTAACTTAGTTTTTTTAAATCTAGCACTTGAATTTCTTCTACATATTTCTCTTCCCATTACAACACCGACATGTCACTTTTAGTTTATTACCTGTTTAATTTATTTAAATATGTCAAATTAATTTCTAATGATATATGCCTTTAATTTAAAACATTTTTTAAAAAAGATTCATTGAGGCTCAATAAAACTATTTTAGAAAAAAAATTTGGAAATCTTTTACATGATCTTAATGCTAAACAAATTAATTAGTTAAATCTAAAATAAAAAATTCTAAGTGGCTATAAGGGGTATATCTCACATAGTCTCTATATGAATGTCTAAACATAATTGGAGCATTTAAACAAAATTCCAAACAAAATTGTAAGACTTTTCTGATTATATCTAGAAGATCATAGAAAAATAAAATATGCATTACTTACCTATTAAAGTGGATAGATTTCTATTGGGAAAATATATTTAACCATTTCCATTTAATATTTTACAGTACTTTTATAGTACTTTATCCCATCCAGTAAGAAACATACAAATAGTTAATTTAAGGATATTAGTCGAGAAGCCAAAGAAGTAACATAAAATCTCTAACAAAGACAGAGTAGCGATTGCTTTCTATTGCATACATGGTGGATGTAGTAACTTCTAAGGACTCTGAGCGCCGCTGTTCACCTACTAGGAGAGAGGCGCAGCCAGCGCTCAATACGGATTCTCTGGGTTCCAACTACACAAAGCTTCACAGTTCCTACAAACCAGCTCAGGGGCTGCAGCGACACTCACTCCAGAATTTAAGGTGCTCAGGCTACAGCGACTCCCTGCATCCAGAGAAAGAAAAAGGAACCGGTCAAAACATACAACGTGCCCAGAGAGGACTTTGCGAGGATTCCGTGACCAAACAATGGCCGCTCAAAGGAAGCGGTCCGACCGCAGCCCACTGATTCTGCTCTGCCTTTTCGCCGCTGTGCTATGGGAAGCCGATGCTCGGCAGATCCGCTACTCGGTTCCTGAGGAGCTGGACAAAGGCTCCTTCGTGGGCAACATCTCCAAGGATCTTGGGCTGGAGCCCCGGGAACTAACGGAGCGCGGAGTCCGCATCGTCTCCAGAGGTAGGACGCAGCTTTTTGCTCTGAACCTGCGAAGTGGCAGCTTGGTCACCGCGGGCAGGATAGATCGGGAGGAGCTCTGCGCTCACAGCGCTAGGTGCCTGGTGAATTTTAACATTCTTGTGGAAGATAGGGTGAAACTTTTCGGGATAGAAATAGAAGTAACTGATATCAACGATAATGCCCCAAAATTCCAAGCGGAAAACCTAGACCTAAAAATTAATGAAAACGTCTCCCCAGGAATGAGTTTTCCTCTCCCGGAAGCTGTTGATCCGGATGTGGGCGTGAACTCCCTACAGAGCTACCAGCTCAGCCCCAATAGGCACTTCTCCCTAGCAGTTCAGAGCCGTGCCGGTGGCATCAAGTACCCGGAGCTGGTGCTGGAGCACGCCCTGGATCGAGAGGAAGAGGTGCAGCACCACCTGGTCCTCACTGCCTCCGACGGGGGTGACCCTATCCGCTCTGGCACTGTCCTCATCAGTGTAACTGTCTTTGATGCAAATGACAACGCACCGGTGTTCACATTGCCCGAATACCGAGTGAGTGTTCCAGAAAACTTGCCTGTGGGCACACAGCTGCTGACAGTCACTGCCACCGACAGGGATGAAGGAGCCAATGGAGAAGTGACATATTCATTCCGAAAATTACCTGATACGCAATTGTTGACATTCCAACTAAACAAAAATACTGGAGAAATAAAAATATCAGAAAATCTAGATTATGAAGAAACAGGTTTTTATGAAATAGAAATACAAGCGGAAGACGGAGGAGCATATCTTGCAACTGCAAAAGTGTTGATTACAGTAGAAGATGTAAATGACAACAGTCCAGAGGTGACCCTCACATCTCTGTTCAGTCCCTTGAAGGAAGACTCACCTCTGGGGACTGTTATAGCCCTTTTAAATGTGCATGACCTCGACTCTGGGCAGAATGGACATGTCACCTGTTCTATATTGGGGGATCTACCATTTAAGTTAGAGAAGTCCATTGATAGTTATTATAGATTGGTGACACACAGGGCCCTCGACAGGGAACAGGTGTCCTCTTACAATATTACTGTAACAGCCACAGATGGAGGAAGTCCACCCCTATCAACGGAGACTAGCTTCACCCTGCAAGTAGCAGATATCAATGACAACCCACCCACCTTCTCTCACATGTCCTACTTTACCTACATCCCAGAGAACAACCCCAGAGGTGCCTCCATCTTCTCTGTGACCGCACTAGACCCAGACAGCAAAGAGAATGCTCGCGTTATTTATTCCCTAGCTGAAGACACTATCCAGGGGGCACCTCTGTCCTCCTACATTTCCATCAACTCTGACACAGGAATCCTGTATGCACTTCAGTCCTTCGACTATGAGCAGTTTCGTGATCTGCAGATGCAGGTGATTGCCACTGACAATGGGGACCCACCACTCAGCAGCAACGTGTCATTGAGTCTGTTTGTGCTGGACCAGAATGACAACACACCAGAGATCCTGTACCCTACCTTCCCCACTGACGGTTCCACCGGTGTGGAACTGGCACCCCGCTCTGCAGAGCCTGGCTACCTGGTGACTAAGGTGGTGGCAGTGGACAAAGACTCAGGCCAAAATGCCTGGCTGTCCTACCGCCTGCTGAAGGCCAGCGAGCCAGGGCTCTTCACGGTGGGACTGCACACGGGTGAGGTGCGCACGGCGCGGGCCCTGCTGGACAGAGACGCCCTCAAGCAGAGCCTGGTGGTGGCCGTCCAGGACCATGGCCAGCCCCCTCTCTCGGCCACTGTCACGCTCACCGTGGCAGTGGCCGACAGCATCCCAGAGGTTCTGGCTGATCTGGGCAGTCTCGAGCGCTCTGCCAACCCTGATGACTCTAGCCTCACTCTATACCTGGTGGTGGCAGTTGCCGCGGTCTCTTGTGTCTTCCTCGCCTTTGTCATCGTGCTGCTAGCGCTCAGACTGAGGCGCTGGCACACGTCACGCCTGCTCCAGGCTTCTGGAGGCAGATTGGCATGCGTGCCCACCTCGCACTTTGTGGGTGTGGACGGGGTGCAGGCGTTCCTGCAGACCTATTCCCACGAAGTGTCCCTCACTGCGGACTCTCGGAAGAGTCACCTGATCTTCTCGCAGCCCAACTACGCGGACACGCTCATCAGCCATGAGAGTTGTGAGAAAAAGGATCCTTTGTCTCTGTTAGATGACTCAAAGTTTCCTGTAGACGATACTCCTTTGGTTCCAGTGAGTTCTATTTTTATTCCTTTCCTTTCATTTAAAAAAAATTATGATTGATTTAGCTTTTAGGTTTGTAGCACCGTGAAAATTTTTATCTTTATTCTTTCACTTTTTCCTTTGTTTTGATGACATTTGCTTCTTGCTAAAACATTGAAGAGTAGAACTTGTTGGTTATTAAGGCTGATATGTTTTTACTTTCTAGTAAATATTTACATAATGGCAATGAAGGCCTATTATCATATTAGCTTTACAGAGCCTTACCTTTTTATAGCTTCGTGTGCTCTTCTGTTGGCTACATGATGAAATCCTAGCTCTCGGTTTGAAGGTAGTTCTGATAAGAATAGGTAGATGTCAGAAACAAATGCATTAGCTTTGCTGAAAACACAACTCAAACAGACGCCCTCAAGCAGAGCCTGGTGCCCAGGAACCACTCAATGTTGTTCTTGCCCAGGAAGACAGTACACCTCTGTGGTTATATTTTTCAAATTATACTTGTAGTGACATTTATAGTTGAATAGACTTCCAAAGAGATTTAAAGTTTTCATCAATATTCTATAACAATTCATAACAATGTGTGCTTAAATTTTTCCAAGTATAATCATACTTGGTAACACTGCAGAATCCTTTTTGCCTGTGAATCTAATTTTATACTCTTATGTGGAAGACATAGCATTTTAATTTGATTTTACTTAGTGGGTTTGTAGAGAACCTATAGAAAGTTAAATTAAGCAAAGTTTGTGTTCTGCTTCCTCTCTGTTATTTTTGTTAAATTCTCCAATCTCTGAGGCTGAAAAAAAAATGGGTTGGGGAAACAAATTTATACATGTTCCCAAGAACAAAAGCAAAAGATGTGTGTCCAGAGTATTTCAGTGGCTCCTTAATGTAGAAAAAAGAAAACCCACCTGAAACTCCAAAAACTCTGAAATTAAGAGTCAAAATAAACTTAAAGTCAAGAAAGAAATGTCATTTCTGCAGGAGACCCAAATATAAGCGGAGAAGTACACAAAACTATTCTAAACATATTATCAGAAGAGTTACTGGAGAACCCATTCAGGTTACTGAAGACAGCGATTTATTTGGTTTGATCTCTTACTTTTAATTTATATATAATTAATTTACATAGAATATATAATTCTCTTCTAAACTAATATTAGCGTAAAGTCAAAGAGTGTCCTAATATGTCTCAAAATATGAGAACATTTTTTTCATGTCATTCAATGTTTGTTCAATGATAGGTCTGTAGAAGGAGGACGTACCATTTAGGGTCGTAGTTATTTACTTTTAAATCACTGAAACTGTCGTTTAAAATTTCTGTCTACAAGACTCGGAATTATTATGCATCCATCTCAAATAATTTTTATTTTGAAAAAAATGCAGTTTTTGTTTTTTAAAAAACTACTCTTTTAACATGATAGCTATTGTAAGCAAGTTTTTTAAGTGTAATTATTTAAAAGCAGCACAGGGACTTCGGATGATTATAATCAATATGGCAATGGTTGCATTCTAATCCCTAAATATGGGGGGGGGGATGGATTGATACTTTCTCTCCAAATATAAGCTAATGTTGAAGACAAAACAGTTTTTCGCTTATCTTCAGTACTTCCCTTTGTGGATCATACTCTTAAAAGGAACAACAATGATTGCCTCTGAGTGGAAGAACCGGATAGCAGTGAGCCATGGGATAGAGACCTACTTTTCACTCTATATTCTTTTGTGCCTTTTTGACTTTTGAAAGAAATACTTTAATGTATTCAAAATCTAGGTAAAAATTTTAAATATGAAAATATATAGTTTTGACAATGGGAAAAACATGTTTCATGATGAAAACGAAATCACTGAGGAATAAGATTCAAATATTTTAGCTGTTATCATTTTGCTTTCAAAGAGACGTTTCCTGAAATTGAGAAAAACTAGACTGCGGTTCCACACAGAGCCTCTGGGCGCCGCTGTAGGCCAGTGCAGGGCAAGCGCTGACGCTTGGGATTCCTCAGCCTCTAGCCAGGGATTCCTGCGCAGCCAACACTTAGAGAAGGAAACCCCCTTACACACTAGGGCTCCCGGCTGCACAGACTCTCCCTGGAGTCTGGGGGGTTCGCCTGTCCTGGGCCGTATGCTCTTCCAGTGCGATAGTGTGCACTCTCCAGCCGAAAAGCCTGGACGCAGCGAGAACTAGAGCGCGCAATGGGAGGGAGCTGCGCTCAGAGACGCCCAGCCCGCCGGCCGCAGGTACTGTTTCCCTTCCTTCTTCCTTTGTTCTACCGCGCGCTCTGCGAGCCGATCCGCTACTCGATTCCGGAGGAGCTGGCCGAGGGCTCGGTGGTGGGGAACCTCGCCAAGGATCTAGGGCTCGGTGTCCTGGAGGTGTCGGCTCGGAAGCTGCGTGTTAGCGCGGAGAAGCTGCTTTTCAAAGTAGACGCGGAGAGCGGGGATTTACTCGTGAAGGACAGAATAGACCGTGAGCAGATTTGCAAAGAGAGAAGAATATGTGAGTTGCAGTTGGAAGCCGTGGTGGAAAATCCTTTAAACATTTTTCATATAATTGTGGTTGTTGAGGATATTAATGACCATGCTCCCCAATTCGATAAAGATGAAATAAACTTAGAAATCAGCGAATCTGTCAGCCCAGGAGTGGGAACAATTCTTGACTTGGCGAAAGATCCTGATATTAGTATGAATTCTCTAAGCAAATACCAACTAAGTCCTAACGAATATTTCTCATTGGTGGTGAAAGACAATCCCGACGGTGGCAAATACCCAGAATTAGTCTTGAAGAAGACCCTGGACCGAGAAACGCAGAGCGCTCATTACTTGGTCCTGACAGCCTTAGATGGTGGGGTTCCGCCACGAAGTGGCACAGCTCAGATCCGAATCCTGGTGGTGGATGCCAACGATAACCCCCCAGTGTTCAGCCAAGACGTGTACAGGGTCAGCCTTGGTGAAGACTCGCCTCCAGGCACCTCAGTGCTGATGGTGAGCGCCAGTGACAAAGACGAAGGCTTCAACGCTGAAATCACCTACTCCTTTTTTGGTGTGGATGATAAAGTTCAGCACGTATTCTCTCTGGATTCCGCTACAGGAAGCATTAGAACTCAACAACCCTTGGATTTTGAAGATGTAGAAAGATACACCGTGGATGTAGAAGCAAAGGACAGAGGATCTCTCTCTGCACGGTGTAAAGTAATTATAGAAATTCTAGACGAAAACGACAACAACCCAGAAATAACCATTACTTCACTCTCTGATGAGATTTTGGAGGATTCCCGTCCAGGAATGGTTGTGGCTCTCTTCAAAACACGGGACCGGGATTCCAGGGAAAATGGAGAAGTCACATGTAATTTAAGTAGATATGTTCCATTTCAGATTCATTCATCTTCTAATAATTATTACAAGTTAGTAACAGATGGAACCCTGGACCGGGAACAGACCCCGGAGTACAACGTCACCATTACAGCCACCGACAAAGGCAAGCCACCCCTCTCCTCCAGCATTACCATCACCCTGCACATCACCGACGTCAACGACAACGCTCCGGTTTTCCAGCAGTCAGCCTACCTGGTCCACGTGCCAGAAAACAATCCACCCGGTGCTTCCATAGCGCAGGTCAGCGCCTCCGACCCCGACCTGGGACCCAACGGCCACGTCTCCTACTCCATCGTGGCCAGCGACCTGGAGCCGCGGGCGCTGTCGTCCTACGTGTCCGTGAGCGCGCAGAGCGGCGTCGTGTTCGCGCAGCGCGCCTTCGACCACGAGCAGCTGCGCGCCTTCGAGCTGACGCTGCAGGCCCGCGACCAGGGCTCGCCCGCGCTCAGCGCCAACGTGAGCCTGCGCGTGTTGGTGGGCGACCGCAACGACAACGCGCCTAGGGTGCTGTACCCGACGCTGGGGCCCGACGGCTCGGCGCTCTTCGACACGGTGCCGCGCGCCGCGCCGCCCGGCT